CCCCGCTCCCCCCTGCCCTGCCCTGCCCCGCCATACACCGTACTGCCCCAAAGACCCGGAGGCGACCGACCCGGCCGAGGCCCGTTTTTCTCGTCCGCTGAAATTATTCAGTTTCACTCGCTCGCTCAAAGCACGCGCCCACGGGACGGGGGCACGAGACCAAGGGGTCGCTCGCAGGCACGCACGGCGCACGGGGCCGCCGCCGAGACGGCCAGGATGGCGCGATCATAAAGCGTCTTCCGGCTCGTCGCGCCCGGTCGCGAGGGCAGCAGGGCGCGCCGGACGGCTCTGCCGGACACACCGTCAGCTGCTAGGCGGAGCGGTGCGACAAGTTTGTATATTATATTTCCATTTCGCTTGCTTGGCACCGCCGGTTCGCGCCGTTTTGCTGCCGCTTGCAGTCGCGGGCCGGGGCCGGGCCCGGCATAGTGTCGCAAGCGCTCCCCTAGCCGCCACTCGGGCGGGCGGGGCTGAGCTTTTCTGTCGAGCGCGGAGCTGCAGAAAGGTCAAAACGTCCGTGAGATTATGGTGGCGCGCACCAGAACCGCTTGGGGGAGGGACACCGCAGAACTCCTTCGCCCGCGACCGTGGGCCCCCACCGACTCGATTGCCGAAATAAGACCATAGCGGAGAGAGACGGCGCGGGGCCGGCGGCGCGAGGGATTTGTCACTCCACAGCTGGTCATGCCTTGTCGCACGAGCGAGTATGACTCCCGCCGCCCTCAAGCTTTCTTCACAAACGTCCGTCGTACGTTTCCGGGTGAACGCCGCAGCTCATATCCGCTCCGCTCTCGGGTCGCCACCTCACCGCACCTCACCGCACCGCACCTCCAGACCGCGCCCACGCGCCCCTTACACGCCGGCCGGTACACTGTCGCACCCGTGGCACTTTTACACTTTATTTTGAGATGCGGGGTGAGTCAAGTCTTCGGGTATACCGACAACTTTTAAAAATGCTTGACTTTACTTTGATAACTTTAAAACTTTCCTGTTGTTTACAATTGTAAACTGTAAAAAAATAATGTTGTAAATTAACAACGAATTCGAATTAAGGCTTTGACTGACTTTTGTTGTTTAACAACGACAAATTTCCTGTGGTGCAAATTTGTTTTGTAAAACGAGGTTCTTAAAAAAACATTCATAGAACGATTTACACACACAAAAAAAAATGTCATGTTTATGTTTTCCTACAATACTATTTTTTCCACAGTTCCCTTTTCCTTATTTTTAACTTTTTAGTGCGTGACACGCAGTTCCCCAGCGCACTTTTATTTGCAGACACGGGCATACATATGGTGATGTTTCAAAAACTCGTCTATTTTCTGCGACCCTTTCGCACGCAACGCCTCTCCTCCGCGGCACGGGGAGCTACTGTATGGCTGCTGTTAAAATGGAAACAGCAAATAAAGAGGCGAAACTGGGTGACGCGAAGAGGGGTATCGCCCCGCCCGGCCCC